AAATGTACGAATATAATTTAGTTTTCGCCAGAATTACAATTTAAGTATCAAATTGTAACAAAATTTTGCTAATGACGGATATAATCGCTATGACACGAAATTCTGCCATGTCTTCATGACGGATACAGTCGTCAAACACACTTAAATGGTTATATTATATATTATAATACATGCCATATATTATATATTATATTATATTATATTATAATATATTACATTATATTATATTATAATATATTATATACTATATTATATTATAATATATTATATATTATATTACATTATATTATAATATTTTATATAATAATATATATTTATTTATTATTTTATAGAATATATATTATATATTATATATTATAATATCGAAGTGTGCAGTTCACAAGTAGAAAATTCAGATTCCCAAAAGACCAAATTCGGAGGCTTCGCTTGTAAAAATATCGGTTTCGCAGTTATCGTGGAGATACCCCCTGTAAATCCAACGATTCGCGATTCGAGCGTCGGAACGATCGCCGGTATGCGGTCGTTAAATATTTTGTTGACCCTGCACGGCACGCGAATTGCGCATTTCACATTTTCGTGATGCCGAATCACCTCCGCGGTGTTCCGCGTGCTCGATTAGCGGGGTTGACGCGCGTCGTTTACGAACTGCGTCAGTCCGAAACGTTGGACCCAGGGACTCATCATCATCATCGTCTATCCTTGCCGCGGTGAAAACAAGCCGGCGTTGCAACGCCGATGCAAGAAGGATGCACGTTGCCGGGTGCCGGATCGGTCTCATCCAGTTTACCAGGTCAGTTATCACCTTGTCCCGATACGTCACTGTACCATTAGCGTGCTCCCGTTTGACGTCATTGTTTCGTATAAATGCTCGAAGAATGCTTCTCAGGGGCACAAACTCGCCACCGATCGGTCCCAGCGGATCTATCGCTCGTGAACCTATTATCCGGCATTCGGAGACTCGAGTACGACTTCGATCGACACTAGTAATCGCCTGGCATCATCGTCGAGAGACGCTTCGAGAGACCTTCTATCGTCTGGTTTCTGACATTGAGTCTGGAAGGCTGAGCCATTATTCTTCGGACTCTGGGAGAAGAACGCTTCGAACCGCACGGCAAAATGGTAAGAGCTATTCTGAAATCTGGTCGAACATTTTTGGGTGACCTGGAGACTTTGGTCTTCTTCGATTCTTGAAATGAACTCTTGAAATGTAACTTGAAGAAATGCAACGGTTCGGATAAGGGAGAATTTAGTGTATTTAATGTATATTTTGGTGACCGGAGGGTTTCGATCTGTCTTTTCGAGCTTGCGGACTCGACTGCAAGGCTCTATTATATCTTATATTATATATAGCTATATTATATATTTAATAATAATAAATAATATTATATAATAAATTTTATTCATTATATTATTATATAATAAAATTTATTTTATATAATTATTATATAATAAATAATATATATATATATTATTATTATTTATTATATAATAATTATATAAAATAAATTTTATTATAGCTATATATATATATATATATATATATAGCTATATTATATCTTCACAGATTCGTCTCGCTTGTGTGGACGTCGCTTCGCTCGTCTCAGTGGACGTCGAACAATTATAATTGAAAGCGAGACGAATCTGTGAAGATATATAAAAAATATATAATATATAATATAATATAATAATATATATATATAATATATATATAATAATATATAATATAATATATAATAAAATATATAATATGCAAAAAGATATAAAAAAGTGAAGATATATTTTCAAGATCGAAGACAGATCGAAATCCTTGGGTTACCAAAATGAAATATAGTGAATTCTCCCCAATTGTCGCTGAGATTCCGCACAAAAATGGACAATTCGGGAAGTGGAAATACGATTATTCGAGCCTCGCGCGGCTCCTTTTTATAGTTATTGAGAATCGGTATCTAAAAACAAAGAAAACTCTTAAAA